CTTTTTATACCGATTATAACCGACTCACTTTTCATTTCAAGAGTGCACTTTTTATGAAATTTCTCATTTCATTCAATCTCCGTTTATTTCCCATCATTCTCATCGCATTTCGAATGAACATGCAATGCAGAAATATGCAATAAAAACCGCACATAAATCACAAAAGTTTATTTTGTATTCTATGGAAAAAAAGAAAGCATCCCAATGATGGTCAAATCCTCTCATCATAACTAGCACGGGATTTTTATAAGTGGGAAAGAATAAAATTATTTCATGAAAGCATAGCAAAGAAAAAATAAAATAATGCAAAACTTTTTAGTTGCATTCTTAAATTTATTTTGTGGCTTTTCTCATATTTTTTATAATAAGCATTTAAATCGATCATAATGAGGTTTATTAATAGATTTTCTTAATATAAAGTTAAAATTTTATAATCAAAGCTTCTGAATGAATTGAACTGAAAATCATTAGTTGGAAATTAAAATTTCAAGTGTAATTAAAAGATTTGTAGAGAAAATATCAAAAAGTTTGTTGAGTGTTGAAAGATGAAGTCTGCGATTCCTCTTTTTGAACCTAGTTTAATAATACAGAAGTTATTAAAATAGGTTAAACTTGACTAATATTTTCAATAAGTTTCAACAGCCCTTTCAATATTAATAATCGATTCAGACAAGATCAAGAAGCAATAAATAAAGAAATATCTCAGAAGAATTAGAGTCAGCCTCAAACCATTCATGTTTGATTTCATTTCATATTTCAATCATTGAGAACATTAAAGAATTTTGTCTACGCAACAGATTTTCTTCTAAGTTTCCTCTGGTTATCTTTGGGGATGACAAATTATTTGGGTGGAGTTAATGACGTTTGGCATATGAAGCAATAGAAAATATTGCTAATGAGTTTCATAGTCGAATATAAGGAATCACATTTGATCAAATCTTAGTTTCATTCGTTTCATTAAATTAAATTCATTTGAAATCCTTCTTAATTGACGTTTATTTGGTCGCATGGATTAAATTCTCTTATTTTTAAAATCTCATGGAATCAGAGTCATTTCATTACTTACTATTTTCAATCCTTTCGGAGCAAATGCTTTTAAAAAATCTTCCTTAATTCCTTAAGGATATTCACTTCATAAATTTAAATGAAAGAAGCTCATGTCAGAGCATCATGAGATTAAGAAATGTCACGTACAGGAATTATTATTGTTTGTCATTTGACTTATATTACAAATGCACATATGCAGCTTCAGAAAGAGTCTTAATAGCATGTTAAATTTCTCACCCAGTAATATATGCACTTATAAAATGTAGAATAAGATATAACTTTGCATAATAGTATTATAGCACCACACTCCTCGAGAATAGCAGAAAAGATTTGAAGTTTAAATTGAATAAAAACATTCAGCTAACACTAATAAACCAAAATGTTAAATATTTGTTTAATATTCTTAAGAATTGAAGATTTTGTTCAATAAATATTTCATAAAATGTCAAAAATTCAAGAAAATATATATTTTTAAAAGATTTAATGAATTTAATAGCAATTTTCCCTAAAGCAGGATACATTTGACGAGAATGAATGAACGAAGCAATAAAGATTAAAATGCCGGACGAACATTTATTAAAAATTCATTGTTGATGCATAATGAAAACCAGGAAATTAATAAACAATATTATTAATAAAGTAGTATAGATGCTCAAAATGTGAAAATGCTTTAAATCTACTCTACATCTGTAATTTTTCAAAATTTAATTCAATTAAAATTTATAATCGTTTAAAATTCAATATATTTTAAGTTTGACAAAAAATAATTTGAATTTTTTACATTTTTTATCAATTTTCAGAATTTCAATTTGTTTTATTTCTGTGGTCATGAAATTGCGGTTTTTGCGGCAATAATAAGAGTTTGAAACAATTGAAATGGAAATTAATCACAACATTCACAAAAAGAAGCTTAAATCTTTTCGCGCGTCTTATTTTCAGATTATCATTCTTCTGATGAAGCTTCCAAAAACAGATATAAGATTGTACCACGTTCGAATGACTTATGGATGAACATTTATTTCACGGTTTTTGAATATTTGCGCCTTCACCTCGATTTGATTAATTGATGGTAAAATGTTATTCTACTATGACGCGTGAAACCTGAAAATGCCACAACATGAATAAATAATTTCGTGATTTTCTAAAATTTTCATCGTAATTTCAATTTAGCAAATGATGGAAGTGCTGTTGCTGATTTATTTGTTTGGTTTTAGCGGAAATGCTTTCTTGAATTTTAATTTCAGCTCAATATTTCAATTTTTCGCTCTAATTTTAACCTCAATTGATTAAAATTTCAAATTGATTTCTTGAATAGTTTTACTTTACTAGATTAAATTTACTTTTGTTATGTATCATATTTTTCCTAGTTCAATGCTTCAAAATGTTCATTATTTATTTTCCCTTCACACATTCTAAGAATTAACACAACCGAATATGTTTATCATAAATTTCCCATTTCTTTCATCTCAATCACGAATATTTATAAATATTTTCCTCTTCATCTTCACATCCATTTTCTTACTTATTGATAAATTCCCGTTTATTTATTATAAAAGAATACAATCGATTATTGAATGGAAAACCAATTTCTCAAATACGCACATTGCGTGCTTTATCAACTGTCAACATTAATCAATTTTTATGATATAGTTGTTACGAGAATCCACAATATCAGATTCATTGAATTTATTAGATCGTGGATGTATGATATTTATCATCAAAACCTCTATAGAAAAGGTGAGAGGAATTAAATAGAATAACAAACACAATAGACTGAATTAATTGAATGTACATAAAATGATAGTAAAAGATGCAAACAAAGCAAGTTATTAGTTTTCGAACATTTCACAGACATATGATTAGTTTGGAAATAAAATAAAAAATGTAAATTTCATTTTCACGCACATGTGGCAGCTTTGTTTCAGTTGTGTCAACACAAAATTTTATTACATAAACTTTTTGAATGAAATGAGCAGCAAGAAAAAGTTTTAAAGCACATACCAGGTGTATCATAAATTTTGGTGATTGTATGTCGTCGTTTATTCGCATGTTTCTTATAAAATCACATATTTTTCCATAAATTTCTTCATGCATGAAAGGGCATCAGCAGATTTTCTTTTTTTATACATCCACATCCACATAATATTCAAATCTTTTTCCCTTATGTACGTAGATATAAGCTGTATGTATGTTGTTGAATGAAAGAGGTTTATTTATTCATCAGGTAGTTTCTTAACACTTCATTGAATTTTTTCGTTTGAAGAATGAAAATCTCCTTGTATACATTTCATATGAGAGTGAACATATTTTGGTTTGCATGTCATGTCCTCATATGTGATGGATATTAAAGCTTTAAAGTATTTGGAAAAATATAGTTAAAATACAGTAATTATAAGAACTTTAGGTGCTTAGCCTTTCAAAATGGTAACAAAGACCTAAACATAGGGATCCAAAGAGGCCTGATTCCCTTTTAACAGAAGCTGCTTTATCTTTCATGTGCCATTAGAATTAATAACAAGTACAAAACCGAGAGTAAAGCAGCAAAAATGTTTTCTGACCCCTCAAATCATTTTTCTAGCCTCAGCATAACCTCAAAATTTCGAAATTTTATTGACAAATTCAGTAATATTCGAACGACATTGTCAACGACACCATTTGCGTTTATTTTGTAGAAAATAATATTTTTTCATTAAAGTGCGCTAGCATTTGCACAGTTGTATTTGGCCAGTTTTCTTTTTAAAAAAATATTGCTGAGTAAGCAACTGATAACGTGAGTTGCAATGATCACCTTTTTGTCGAGTGCATCATTTAAATTCTTAAAGCTTTAAAGACATTTGTTTTTAGAAAATTTTGACTACAACTTCACATTAAATGGAAAATAATCTTTTTTTATATCATGTGACACGAAAAGGTGCAATAAATCATAATGACATATACATTCATGTTGAATCATAGCTTTTATTTATTCATTTTCATGAGTCTATTCTATTTCAACTAATACACCTATTCATGCACAGATTTAATGTAGAAGGATTTATGGAAGAACATTTTTCATGACACATGAGAGGACACACATGCCTTATAGACATTGCGATGTTTACGCAAAGACTGGTGATGAGAAAAACTAGTCTTCAACAAAAGTCTGTCTAGAGGAACCAAAATCATGTTGTATAAGACGCTGATTCGAGTTATTGCATTATATGGCTCGGAAACCTAGAATTCTACGCAAGCGGATGAGGAAGCTATTGGTCTCTTCGAAAGACGAGTACTGCGCGCGATTTATGGTCCTGTGAAGGAACGAGAACAGTATCGAAGCTGACACAATGACGAACTATATCAGTTATTCCAGGATGCTGATATTATTACGGTTCTCCGTGCAAATCGTTTGAGATGGGCTGGACATGTCTTTAGACGTCCACAAGATGCCCCAGTACTAAGAGTGACTGTTGCAGACTTTATGGATGGCAAGAGATCTAGAGGAAGACCAAAGAACACCAGGATTGGATGTGTTGATAAGGCGTCCTTAATATCCCGAACTGGCAAAAAGTCACAAAGGATAGAGCTGTATTTAGACGATCTCTGAACGCGGCAATGGGCCCACGTAGTAGTTTCTTCAACTAGGTTTTGCTCAGGCTAGGTTTCTTCAACTAGGTTTTGCTCAGGCTGCAAACATATTAAAATTGAAAACTAAGAAACAAGCGACTTCATCTTAGCAATGTTTATAACATCCAAAAACTAGCGACATGTATCTTAAAAAATATATTTTTCTCACAAAAAATAAAACACTTGCAAATAAATAAATAAAAAATTTAAACTGTTTTGAGCATGCTGCATACTTTTATCCGAAATGGAACCGAAATCGATGATATCAATAATCGGCAAAATCCGAAGTGTAATTTCAAAATTATGTATATAAACTATCCGTAGAAATTGAAAAATTATCAGTAGTGTCTTTTTAATAGGAAACAAAAGGACTTGATAAAATGGGATTTTTGCCAGATCTTCTTAGCCAAACGGTTTTACGTTCGATATTGTTATGGGGTTTATATTTAAAACTTTTATTCAGCCCAGAATATAATTGGCCAACAGATTATCTCACAAGAGTCAACAGTTGCACGTAAGAACATTTTTTTGGACCTTAAATCTATAATTTATTTCTTTTTCTCTCAATACAGCATTAGTTTTTCTTTTTTTACTGGATTTACAACTGTATGTGACAATGCATGTGACTTGTCCAAAGCAAACAAACGTAAAATAATTTAATTTTTTAAAATGGCAAAATAATATTAAATTTCTCATTACAGTTCCCGTTTTTGATTACATTATCGTTGGATCTGGAGCAGCTGGATCTCTTTTGGCATACAGACTTACGATGGCAAATCCAACGCGAAAAGTATTGTTAATCGAGGCTGGTAGTGATCCTATTATTGAATCTGTCGTGAGTATTTTAATCTATATTAGTTTCATGTCTCATTACCAGAGATTATTTTCGTTCATAGCCTCCACCACTGTTTGCATTTAACCTCAACAACTCAGCTGCTTATACTTTTAATGCAGAAGAATCTCCAAATTATGGCAATGCATATAAAAATGGTGTTGGTTGTAATTGTGGAAGAAGTGTAGGTGGATCGACTGGTGAGATAATAGCGTAGCTTTTTTTTGACTTTAACCTTATTGTTTTATGCTATACATAGAAATAAACGCAATGATGTTCGTGTGTGGATGTGATGAGGATTACAATTCTTGGGCAACAGCTGCAGGTGATTCTAGTTGGAATTATGCAAACGTTTTACCTTACATGAAGAAATCTCATAGCGTACAAGATCCAACTGGATCGCTTTTAGCTGGAAATTGTGCAGCATATCAAGGATCTAGTGGTCCATTAATAGTCACAAATTCAGACAGTAATTCTGATTACATTACACCGGTTATGAAAAGTGCAACCATGGAGCTGAACTATCCTCAGAGAAGCAGTTCAAATTGTGGACCTCCATTTACTGGATTCTCAAACATTCCAATGACGATTTATAATGGTCAACGAGAAAGTGCTGCTAGAGCCTTTTTAGTACCTTTAAGAACCAAGTCAAATTTCTACTTTATGCGTAACAGTACAGTTACTAAAGTGATCACTGCACAAGATTCGACTGGAGCTTGGGTTGCAACAGGTGTGAATGTTATTACAAATTTTACAAAGTGTCCAAATATTGTTTTAAAAGCTGCTCGAGAAGTTATTCTATCAGCTGGATCTTATAACTCACCTTTAATATTACAACGTTCTGGTATTGGAAAAGCTGCAGATTTAAGTACATGTGGAACTCCACAAGTAAGCGACGTTCCAGTCGGTAAAAATTTAATGGATCACATCTATTTAACATCATTCTGGACTATTCCTGGTTTCACACCAAATAATTTTACTGCATCCGCTTTTTTTACTGCTGAAGCAGCCAAGTACGTAAACAATTTTTCAGGCTATTTTTCACGTCTTCAAGGAATCAATTATGGTGGATTCATTAACACATTGAATAGTGCAGCAAATTGTCCAGACGTTCAAATTGTTTTAGCCAGATATGAACAGAACAATGTTGATATAGATCTCATGATGAACGATAAATGGGGATACAAAAAAGAATATGCTGATCAGATTATAAATGCTGCTAAAGATTATGCGTTAATCCAGGTTTTGGCTGTTGTTTTAAAACCACAATCACGTGGAACAGTCAACCTTCGATCATGTACTGATCCATTCGCTAAACCTATTATTAATGGTAACTATTTCAATGTTACTGATGATTTAGACACATTGGTTAGAGGAATGCAGGCAGTCTGTAATATTTTCAACACAAATGCTGCAATAAACGCTGGCATAAATCCATTAATATTTAACGTCACTGAATGTAATTCATATAGTTTCTGCTCAGATGATTACATTCGTTGTAATGCAAAATACTTCACACTTAATTTGTGGCATCCATCAGGTACCTGTAAAATGGGCACATCAGCCACTGACTCAGTAGTTGATAAAAGATTGAAAGTGTTTGGTGTCAAGCGTTTACGAGTTGTTGATGCTAGTGTTATGCCTGTTATTACTGCTGGTAACACACAATGCCCAACATACACAATTGCTGAAAAAGGAGCTGATATGATTTTAGCTGACAATCCATAAACAGCCTTGAGCTTCACAAATGCTCGAACCATTTTAGTTGTGGCTCTTACTCGAAAATTAATATCATTGTTTGATCAAGTTTTTTTTGAAAAATAAAATAAAATTTAATGTCTACATTTGAGTATATTGAAACATCTGTAATTACTGAAATATTTACTTGCTTTGTTCTTTTTTCGTACAGCCGAACTTAAAGATATAAAGACATTTTGTTTCACTATTAGCAAAACTTTTAGAACCTGCTTCTTTATCTCATCCACCATTAATGAAAATAATGATGAGGTTAAAGCACAGAATATAACAATGATGATGGTTATGGTTAACACACGAAACTGTAAACTTGAAATTTTAAGATTTTATTTACTCACAAAGTTTTACTTCCATATTGTTTAATTTCTGAATGTTTTGTTTAAATATCAACCAAAACCATTGAGACAATCAGGAAAAGTTTAATGAATTTTCATTCTGAGAAATGAGGGCTTGAGGAATCGAATGTAACACAAACTTTCAGTTTCACTTGAAGAGAGGATATTCATTCAAAACTTTATGATTTTATTTATTTAACAAAACCTGATTCAAAATATTTTGAAAATTGAAATTTAGAGTGAAGAAATTTCGGAAAAATTAGATTAGGGGTCGTTCACTTATGACGTCCAATATTAACGGTCATTTTTCAAAAAAAGAACATTGAAAAAAGAATTCCAGGAATCAAAAATTTCTATTGTTCGTTTGTTGTTCTTTTCTTGCAGACCCCCCCCCCCCCCTCACCCTGGACGTCATAAGTGAATGGTCCCTTAAATCACCATTTGATTTATTAATAACTGGTCCATTTTTAATCATTTTAAACATAACCATCGCATTTCATTAATTAGCTTTGATTGATTGAATATAAATTAATTATGATTGAATTTGATTGAATTTATAGATCATAAACTAAGGACTTTTATAATGATAATTTCATTCATTGATCAATGATTTAAGTGCTAATTAATTAAACTTTGTCACTCTTTCTAGACTTTTCATCTCCGTTCATCTAAATTTAATTTATAAATAATTCATAAAAGTCAAAAGAAGTAGAATGAATATGTTTTAGCAATGCTTCGATGGCTTCAATAAAACATAAAAGAAAGAGAATTTTCATTATCATGGTTGGTCTATAGACACTTTTCATATTTATACATGCATGTATACATTTTCGTGTGTGAGTAGAAATTTTAATTCGGTACAGCAAATAAAAATCAATTGAAAAAAAAAGTATTCAGACCGACCCCAGCAAAAACGAGAGGATAAAAATGAAAAAAAAATGTTAAATTTCAGCTCGTGGCTCTTAAATGTTGCAATAAATTTCGACCATGAGTGGTCCCTTTTTCATTCATTCGCTACGCATAAAAAATGAAAACTGGAAAAAGTTTTTTTCCTTCTTCTTCTTGTTGCTTATAACGAACGTGTGCCAAGGCGATTTTTTTTTCATTTGGATTCTTCTTCTTTCCTTTTGTACAGTTGTAGATTATGAACCGTAATAACTAATTTAATACCATATTTCGGAGCTGTTTCAGCTTTTGGCTATGTTGTTCAACTCCCGTTCTGATTGTGGTTCGAAGAAGAATAAAAGTTTGCGTAATCAAGTTTATTGCACAATCATTAGACTAAGGCGCTTAAGTTAAGAACTTCTTTAACGATATATGTTACTATGGTCGTAGCCAAGGAGGGAATGCAAGGGTATTCAAGAGTATGTCCTTTTACTCGAAACTAGGAAATTGGACCCGCTCAACGAAGGACTAAGTTTTTGAATTTTTCTGGCCACGCCACTGTACAAAAGTCAAAATTCAATTTGAGCTTCTGATACATTTTTAAATTAAGATAAGGAAATATGGCAATTGATTTTGATTCTTCCAAATCCTTTTCCTTTTATTTTATCTATCTAATTAACAAAACCAAGATGAACAGATGGCAACGTCCATCAACAATAATTGAGGTTCTTATTAAATTGTCCGTATTTTCATAATTCTTTTAGAATTATTCTTCTTACTTTTTTCTAGCGCAATCTCTTAAATCGAAACTGTAGCAATATTGCTGAACAAAAACTAAACGCACTAAAACTATTCAGACACATCTAAAGTAAATAAATTCTAGAGTAATTTATTTCTATAAATTCAAGTGTTTGCAAAAAACATAAAATTGGAAATAAGCAAGTCATGTAACAAAATTGACTTAGTCTTCATTCAATTCATCGGCAAGCACCAGTAAATGACAGTAGTAACTCTGCTACATGCAGAAGGAAAATAAAATCTCGATTCTCAAATTCCAATCAAACTTGATTGAAAATGCTAAAATATTCAATTTCATTTTCATTTAAAAAACATAGAAAAGAGAAATTTATCAAATTAAATGGAGGTAGAATAACAAATTTAACAGCAATGGAATGAAAATGAAAATGTTTGCATGTACCTCTTTCATAAATCTCCTTTTGATTTTATTAAAAATTGATTTTACTTTTTTTGGGGGGCTTATAAGAAATTTAACTTCTGAGCATTGTTTTCAAATTTTTTTCTACCGTTATACGATCTAGGCTTCTAGAGCACTTGTAAATGAGCATGGAAACCTCCATGAATAAACCATAAAAGGAATGTATGTAATTGATAATATTAACATTCTTTGAGCGTGATAAAACCATTTAAATGACATTTTCCATCATAAGCCGCAAGAAATGTGTCTTAGCTAATTTTAAATTTTTTGACAGTTACAAAATTTACCATGTCAGTTCTAAAGTTTAAGCTCTCAAAGGACCTGAATTCGAAGAATATTTATCTTGTATGTAAGTAATTGTAAATTAATTAAGTGTTTTCTAGAAATTAAGACTGTCGATAGATTTACATTAAATAACTGGTAAATTTTGATAATTTTCTAGAAAACATGGTCGTTCAAAACCCTTCATATAGCTTAGATTTCCAATAACTTAACCCAGTTTTCCTTTAAATTATGTAATTCGCGTTTTTGATTTTAAATTTCTATAATTTTACGCTATAAAATGTTCACGTGGGCTTTGTAAAGTAAGAAATATTAGTCATAAAAAAAAGAACGTGACCTATAAAGAAAAAATCATAGTGACAGTTCAAAAAAGGGGTAATAGATATATTATGTAGATTTATTGGATTTTCAGGAGATTTTCTATTATTAGCTAATGCTGAAAACCTTTTTCTGTCATTTTGTCGTCTGTTGAAGCTTTTAGCAACTTAATATTCCAAAATCAGTAGGCGCATCACATTGATAACTTTAGTTTATCATCTTCACATACTTTACATATTTGCCAATTCAAATTTCACTTTATGATGATAGCCTTAATATTTCTTTCCATATAATAACATCCGTCCCAAAGAACCTATGCAAATTTTCATATTTATCTCAATGGAAATTGTTGAGAAAGCTTTTAAAACTGAATTCGAAATGTCTCTCATTCTCATGTCTATAATCTTTCTCAACGATATTCGAGTTAAATGTGCTTTTCACTGTAATGATATGAAAAAAGGAAAATGGAAAAGAGTAGAAAGCATTTCCAGTTCGTTAATCGAAAGGATTACCGAAATTATTAATATAAAATGCGTAGAATGATTTAGTAATAACCAGTAGTTCTCATCAAGGAAGGGAGAGGCTTCTCACTTCAGTCTTAATCCTGATATACAAGAAGCAAAAGTGTCTTGATAGCTTATTTGGCAAGGTACAAGTGACAAACGTTTGTGTTGAATTTGAACTCCCGAGTTCGAATCCCATCACCATCTTTGTAATAATTCAGAAGTTTAGAAACTTCGGCTTCTTAGGTGCAGCAGTTTAAGATGTAAAACTAAGAATTAGGCGATGTGAGATGTAGGAACGGGTCGAGAATTACGTAGACAGAATGAGATAGATACCATGGAAATCTTTTACTGGAACGGACCTGGAGACATTGTGACCTACTGAAAATTGGAACGAGAGCCTACATGAACACTAGTTCTAAGATCTAAAAACAGTTTTTAATTGGCTGCTGGCCACACAACTGCTTAATGAAGATTAATTTTTGGTATTTGACACGTTTTTTGTTGCAAAAATATTAAAGCAAGTTAAAAAATTAATTGAGATTCATCAGGCTTTAACATTTCATGTTCACATTTACGGTGTGATTCTCGCCGGCCCATAAATATCTCAAATCCTCTCCCGAACACAAAAAAGGAAATTCATATTATTTTATTTCGTGTTATAAATCTTGAGAAAGGAAAAAAAAAGCTTTATGCTCTATTCATTTAATTAATGGACACAGATTGTTAAGCCTTGTGAAATGTGCTTTCACATTAAATTAAATCAAATGAACTTGATTGATGGAATTATCATGCATATACACATACGAATTATTTTTACAATAATAGAGACCTTCCATCAACTGGCCTGTAAAGTTCATACTGTGTCAGTCATTTATCTCTACATCTGCTCAATGATTGAGGAGTTAAATATAGAAGATTTTCTTGATGGATTAGACGAAACTGTTAAAGTCTATTTTTCTTTTTGTATATGCACGCGAAGCCTCCCATCCTTCGTCCACAAAATCCAAAAATTTGGCTTGCATTAAAATGAATCATCTTATTACCTATCCCAATATAAACAATGAATCACGATGCTCATATCTTAGAACTTGTGATTTGATAATTTAATAACACAATTGGAGCTGAATAAACACATGATTGATAAGGAGATTTTTTTTATGTGGTTCCAAACACCAATATCGCTTTTTGATAAGAAAAATCATTAAAAAGTAACTTACTTTTGGACAATCAAATCATTAATAATTGAGCTGTCAAGTAAGTTAGACGATGTTGACAAAATATTTGTTGAGTTTAATATTCATCATAGTCCAAGTTTATTCAATCCAAGACTATCGACAATTAGTAGACCTTCATGAATGGTATGAAGTCAAGAAAGATACTTTGGAGATACAACAGAAATCGTCAGCAAACGATGATAATTGTGATCAGGATTTGTTATCATTCCAACAAGGCTTAGAAAGAAATGAGCCATGGGCAGTTATATTTGCTGATACTTGGGCTAAAATTCAAGCTGGATATTTAAGTGGTAATACAATAAACATTGGTGATTTTGATAGTTGTGTGAAATTTGAACATCCAATAACATCGAGTAGAATTTATAAAGGTCAACATTGTTTAGTGGGCATATCAGCACTATCTAATTCTACACTTGAAGCTGATAGGACTGATCTAAGTTTGAAACATTTGTAAGCGTTGGTTTTGTTTAAATTTTTTTTCAACAAAATGTAATTATTTTTATCAACAGAGCCAAATTCTTCAAATCTAATGGCATTGTCTCAACAAATGGATTTTGCATGCCAGCATCATGTTCAGTGGCTAAAATTATTCAGTTTCTAAATCAAAATATTTTAAATGAAAATGATTTGGGTGCTGTAGGTGCACAATGTAGAGATATGAGTGTCCATCTTGAACCATTGGACTACTTTGCAATGTAAGTTCATTCAAAAGCTTTAAATCGTATCTGACATTGAATCCTAAAAACTTTAAATTTGTATCCAACAGCGTTCTTTTTTCATTATTTGCTTTACTAATTATTGCAAGTACAACTTATGAATTAATTATACTAAAGTCTAAACATTCTGAACCAAATAAGCTACTCGCATCATTCTCTGTCTACAGTAATGGATACAAACTTTTTGAAATAACAAAAATAAAATCACCAAGTTCCATTAATTGCCTTCATGGATTAAGGGCTATGTCCATTTTCTGGATTATATTAGGCCATCGAATCACCAATCAATATCCATGGGGAAATCCAAAGGACTTTCAAGCATTCATATTGGGAAAGTCAATTGCAACAGGAATCATAAATGCCCATACTTTGGCTGTTGATACATTTTTTGTTATGGGAGCTTTACTCATGACCTGGTCAACATTAAAAGATTGTGAGAAGAAGCAATTAAATATTCCAAGAATGATCTGGAGAAGATATATACGTTACACGCCAGTTTATTCAGCACTCATCCTTGCTGTTGTTTCATTTTCAAAAGTAATACTTCAAGGGCCATTTTATATAGAGGAATTGAGAGCATCTTGTGTGAAAAACTGGTGGATGACATTACTTCATGTCCTAAACTATCTTCAACAAAAAGATATGTGTCTTAATCATGGATGGTACTTGAGTGCTGATTTTCAACTCTTTATTATTTCTCCTTTTATAATTCTTATGATTCATAAGTATGGAAAGAAGTTTCTTTTGATTCCTGCTGTTTTGTTCCTAGCAACAATAATCTACATAATATCAATTTCGATGGTTTTGGATATTGCTATGCCAGCACCATCAGCAAGTCAAAATTATGTAGACTTTATTTATTTTCCTACACATTCACGAGCTGGTCCGTGGTTTGTAGGAATAATTCTTGGATATTATCTTTTCACAATCCAAAGAAAGAAAGTTGACATTAACAAATTTCTCAATGGATTTATGTGGATATTTACCTTGACTGTGCTGTTTTCTATTGTATTTTTACAACTTGGTTTCTCGAGTTCCACAGATGTAATTCAAAGAGGATATCACATTACATTCCTAGCTTTACACAGAAATCTTTGGGCTATTGCTCTATGTTGGATAATATTTGCATGCCAAAATTTGAAAACAGGAGGAATCATAAGATGGTTCTTATCACTTCCACAATGGCAACCTATTAGCCGAATGGGGTTAAGCATGTACTTAATTGGAGCTGTCTATCAGGTTATGTCGATACTTAACCAGAGAGTGCCACTTTATTTGAATTTTTGGCAATTGGTAAGTCTTTATTTTCATGTTTTGAAGCAGTAGGCAGAAGCTTTATGATATTTCTTAATTTAAAGGTTCCAATTTTGCTGAGTGATGTTTTTATGATCATGATATTGTCAACAATAACATACTTAGCTTTTGAAGCTCCAACATTAATCATTGAAGATTATATTTATAAAAAAATTAAAAATAAGCCTTAATAATCTCTAAAGCTACTGATGTGCTTGTTGCTTAATTTTTTTCTACTTTAAGCCACACATTTGATAGAAAAACAGTTAGAAATTGCCAGAAAAATAATAAAATAAAGTTTGTTGTTATGAGAGTTTTATGACTTCTGCTACAAGCTCAATTTAAAAGCTCCCTGAAGGAAACACGAGAATCGTAAAAGTTTACAATTTTCTTTGTATTTATTTTTTTTAAATTGCAACAAATGAAAATCAATCCTAGTTTATTCTTTGAAATAAAAGCTTTGTAATAAAAAACAAAGTTGTAAAGCAACGCTTACCGAGGAGAGAATTAATACTCTTTTATTGATCACTGATTGTTTTTCGAATGTTGAACTTTCCAGAATCCATAAAATCTTGTAGAATTTTTTTTTGTGAATGTTCGCGTATGCTTTATCATAAAAAATATGTTTCTGTGAATCTTTATCTTTTTTTAAAAATACATTTGCCATCAATATTGAGTTTAAACAACTCTGGTCACATTGTGATCTGTTCGAGGATATTTGCATTGACAATCTGTAAACATGACAAAAGAAAAACATTTTCATATTTTATCAACTCAATAAAAACCTATAAAAACCTTTTTTTCCTTTGTTTTACATTGCCACATAAATATTTTTTTACATGAATCAAAAAATATAGCATTGGATTGTCTTTATTGGCTTTTCATACAATATACATATTTGCTTACATGATTTCTTGGTATATTTATTGACTGTATTTATGAATAAAGGAAACCATAATTTTTGTAATGTTGAGAATTTACACAAAGTCGAAAATGCAGCAAAACATTTTAAACAAACTGGTGCATCGGGGAAGAAACGCAATGCGGATATATTAATACATACCATCAAAAGTCTTGTGGATAGACCAAGCTCCGTGCAGCATATGTTTGAAAATATAAAGCTTGACAAGTCATCTTTTAAATCATCAATTTTATATTTTTAAATCAATTCAAACATTTTCAAATCTTTACTTAAGGTAATAATTCAAAAGTTTACTGATTGGTGCTTCAATAAGAAGATAAAGCAGAACAGAATACAAAATTGTCATCAAAATATCACCAGCTATAATGTGAAGCATCCAACTCATATCAAAATACGAAAGATCTTTAATATTAGAAACAGACATGATTATATAAATATCATGAACCAAGTAAATGCTAAGGCTTAATTTTGAAATTGGTTGCCATAAAGGATGAGATAAGAACTTTCGAAAAATATTTCCGGACTTTAAATAATGAAATGAGAAAATCATCCATCCAACAAAGCACGTGAATATTATACGATGAGTTGCTTCATAAAATGCTCTGGGAAATGGTTCTGTTCTGAGTAACTGATAATAAATTTCTGTTGATATCAAAGCTGATGCTGTCAAAAACCAGCACGTGTATCGTACTCTCTGGAAATTAGAAAGGTAGCAATAAAAATTTTAAAAGTAGCTTCAAACTTAAAATCCGACAATTCTTTTCTAAATTCATGGAATCAAATATTGATTCCCAAATGAAAAAGCTTTTACCTATTTTGTCAATACTTACTTTTCGGATTCGATATTCACTAGTTTCATCTTTCATTTGATACATAACATAGCCTAATGAAATTCCAACCAGCCATTGGCCAATACGGAAATGTGTCTGCCTATATACTACCTCTTCTTTCACTGTATCACTGGATGATAAAATTAGAAATGTAAATCATATTGTAAAATTCAGTTTAAGATATGACTTACTAAAATCTTACAAAGAATATGCTGATTTGCACAGCAGCCAGTATTGCTCCAAAAATCCAAAAGCTTTTGTACCTCAATTTCCAAGCTATGTAAATGAAAATTGGAGACATTAAATAAAGTTGAATGTCGACATTCAAATACCACACATGTCCTAGACACTGGAAATAAAAATGAAAACTTATCATGTGCTCAACATAAAAAGCAAAAAACTTACAATTTGATCAACGTTAACGTAATTTTGTATCATAAGTATTGTCGACCACCAATATTTTTGACATCTTTCGACATTTGTTGTGAGTAACCGAATTGATGGGCCATTAACAAGAGCATATGGCAGAAAGGTTAACATGAATAGTAATAGAACAAAAACTGATGGTGTGTACCGCATGTAACGATTCAAATAAATTTTTCCTAAGTTTAACTTTTTCCTGAATAAAAGAATGTAAGTAAAAAGAAGGGATTGTGAGTTAAAAGACCGTTTAAAATATAAAAGCGCATCTAGAATCCTCGGAGTAAATTTGCATATTTTCAAGCACTTACCCATCGAGAGCACGCAAACATGACTGTGCAACAAGGATGGCTGAGAGCAGGAAAAATATATCGACTGCATAATCAACAGTCATCAATAATGCAAGAGTTGCCGTCGCAGCGATATTGTTAGGATTTATTGGACGTGACATATACCGACTATCACGAAAAATTCTATGACCTGAAATAATCCAAAATGCCGCTAATGCTCTCATTCCGTGCATGCATGCAATAATGTTTCGTGATTTCCTGTAGTCAATATGCAGCAGCTCCTTTATATTTGTGTTGAGAGAAAATGCTGTGAATACTTTTTTGGATTCGTCTAAATTTGAAAGGAAATTGAGATATTTAGGGATATTTTCCTTGATTGGAAATTGGAACTTACGAGATTGCTTTTTTGTCCATACTTCATAAATTGTACTTGTAATTATAATTAGCACCAATAATGCCAGCATGACACTGTGTTAATTAAATCTGTTAATCTCATGTTTCTGATTTTATAAATTACAAGGTTTACTTACAGCATAACATAATCAAGGGCTGAAAGTACAATATCCTCATTTTGCTGACAAAATGTAGCAACAGCTGTTAAATCAGCATTCTTAAGGATTGAATTTGCATAAATTCTTGCACGATCTTCACTACAAGTTTCAGGAACACAAATTCCACTTTCGAATCTTAAATTCCGACTTCTTGCCAGCAGTCCACTAGATGATCAATGGAATTAAATGTTTGTATCTAAACACAAATATCCATACTTACATATCTTTCCATACTAATCGGTCATTATCTATTGGCAATCCATTTGATGAAGAAACATAAGTTATCGTGCAATACTGACCCTGAATTAAACCTACATTTTCATCTGTTGCTATATGTTTTAGATTAAGGCATTCATTGAAAAGTCCAAATTGTCGAACATTTCTGTGGAGAATTCCGGGAGGTAATTTGGCGTACATGTCTAGCACTGTGAATAAATTCTTGTTTTTATTTAATTGAAAAAATTCACTTTAAACAGCAAGTTTACTTCTCATTGCCCAAAATTCACGTTTAGATAGCGATGCATTAAAATAATCTAATTGTAAATCACACAACCAGTCATTAAAGGCCATTTTATACTCTTTTAAATCAACTAAGCACTTTATAAAGTCTAAAGTAAATTAAATATAATATTTTTTTTTTGACTATATAGTGACTGTTCTAATCCATAATAATTACTAATAATAAATGAGAGGTTTGCAATGTCACATATCTTTATCTTATCAGTTGCACGCTATCTATTTGATTATGACGCAACTGAAAACTATGGCTGAGCTCATAAATGTATAAATGTTGATAGTATTTTATATCATAGCTTGAGTAACTGTATCAGTAGAATTACCAGTACTTCATACGTTAAGAGGGAAATAGTTTCTACCCAAGCATCACCACTTGACTGTATCAATTATTAATAATTCGGTGTTTCCACTACATTTGAATTTTATTTGATGTAATAATATACAAGTTTTGCAATTGGTGCCTCAAAAAGTAAATACATAAGAGCCCCATAAAGGATACTCATAAGAATATCACCAGCAAAGATGTGCATGAACCAACTCATTTCATAATGCGAGAGCTCCTTCGTGTTCGAAACAGACATGATGATGTAGACATCATGTACAAGATAAATACTGAGACTTAATTTTGAGAGTGGCTGCCATAAAGGATGAGACAAGAACCAACGAATCACACTGCCTGATTTTAAATAATGAAATGAGAAGATCATCCATCCAACAAAGCACGTGAATATAATGCGATAAGTTGCATAGTAAAAATCCTTATAAAGTTTGTTTTTGACCAAATAAATGCAAACTTCTTGTGATACTAATGCTGATGATAACACAATCCAGCATATACGTTGAACTTTCTGTTAATTTTAAAATATTAATTAATGTGGAATTGTTTTGAATAAGTCAATAATCACCTTTGAAATACTAATTTGATCTGAATCATTTTTAAATCTGTACATTAAGTATCCAAGAGCAACTCCAATTAACCATTGTCCTAGCCGGAAATGCATGTGTCGATAAACAAGACGGTATTTAATTACATCGCTAAAAATTAATAATATTAATCTAAAGTGTTCAGCTATTTCAAACATTGAAACTACTTACAAAAAAGTCATGAAGAAAATAGCAATCTGATCAACAGCTAAGATAGCGCCAAATATCCAAAAACTTTTAAATCCAAGCTTCCAAGCGACATAAATGAAAAATGGAGACACTACGTACAATTGAAAATCCGTGTTAAGATACCAAGTATGTCCAAGACACTGAAATATTCATCATACTATAAATGTGGTTCTTAATCGTAAAACTTGTTACAACTTACTATGTTATCAACATTTACATAAGTTTGAAGCAATAATAATGATGACCACCAATATCTGTGGCATTTCCAAGCAACATCGTAAAAGTATCTGATGACGGGTCCATCAATAAGTAATATTGGGAATGAGCTGATTACAAAAAGAATTAAAATCATCATGGAAGGAACGTAACGCAAATAACGGCTGATGTAGAATTTTGATAAGTTCATCTTCTTCCTGGAATGGAAAAATAAATTATTGGCTTAAAGAGTTCTTAAGAAATAAATGTTAATACTTTTCAAACGCCCGAAGACATGAATATGTGACAAGGATTGATGAAAGCAGGAAGAAGATATCAACAGCATAGCCAACTTTATAAATGATTTCCAGAATAATGATTCCAAAAATGTTTTTTGGCTGGTCCCAAAAAGACATGTACAAATCTCGTCGCTGAAGTCTGTGAGATGCAATAACCCAAATGGCAGATAGCACTCGTAGTCCATGCATACAATAAATGACGTTGTTTGATTTCGAATAGTCAATTTGCAGCAACTCTTTTGTGTTTGTGTATAGTGACAATGCGCTGTAGCATTTATTAATCTGGTTCGGATTTTTCCTCTTTAGTATATCATAGATGGTGCTTACGATTATTGTTGTACATAGCAGTGCTAAAGTGATACTAAATTGACAAGCATTAGACTTACTTTCACAGTTCGATTGATTCGTCAAACTTACATGATGAAAAAGTCAAGAGTGTGAAGTGGATATGCCTTATCAGTTTGACATAAAAAATGTTTTGATCGAATACCAACTTTTGTCAATGTGGGACTAAGAAAAGTTGTAAGTTCAGCATTACTGCACGTGTCAGGCACACAAATTCCACTCTCGAAAATGTATTCTCGGCTTGGTTCCAAAAATCTATTAAATGCAAGGTTAGGAATGAACCATTTTTTTGTCATAGTTGTAGCTATGATTTCAAACTCACTTGCCACTCCATTCTGGTAACTCAACATCTGGCAAATCTTCTGATAAAGATTTTGGAACTAATGTGCAATATTGTCCTCTAATTGTTCCAATTCTTCTATTGCCTGCATCATATTTAAATTTCACACATTCCTCATAATGTCCAATTGTTCGATGCATAAATTTTGTAGCTGATCTTGAACTAAAGTTGGAAACTAAAACTTTGAAAGTTAAAAACTTATTGTTTTATCAAATTTTCTCAGCTTACAGTCCATTGCCCATGCCAGCTGATTTGTTAAAGATTCATTGATGAAATTTAGTTGCAGTTCACAGGAACTCATTCTTGAATTATTGTGGATGAAAGATTTAAAATGTTATTTAAGGAAATATTTGTTCCAAATGATTTCTATGATTGGCTTTTCTTCTAAAATTAAACGAAAATCATATTCCTCAAGAGTTTAAAGTATCAACTCATCATACAGCATCAATGTCAGTCAGCTGCCACTCAACATAAGGAACACGGTTTGCGTATAAAAATTAAATCCTATCGGATGAAATTTTTCTTTCCAATTCAATTCTCAGTAGCTTCTCTTCAGTCTCGAGCAGCAAATTTTTTTGCTTAAATCTCCAAACTGTCAAAATGAATTGCTGAAAATCCATTAAAAATTTCCTCATTCATTCCTATAAGAACATTAAGTCAGCAAACAGTAAAATCACACCAATTGGAATCGATACGAAATAAGAAAAAGCAACAGTATATTGAGTTGGTGGCAACATAAAACATGATTCGTACTTCTCCTTATCTTTTTTTTTGTACGTCAAGTGAAATTTTTCCTTCAAGTAGAATTAAGTCGAAGAATGAAATCTCTCAAGTGTCACTGGAGATTGCAATTCAATATAAGATGGAACATTTTGCTCGCTCGACGCTTTTTGTATTTCATTTCACGTCTTTTGTGCTGAATGTTTTCTTCTACTTACATTTTACATTGCTATCGTCAGATTAACGCTTTTTGTAATTAAAGATATAAAAATTTTGTTTCAAGCTGCTGTATTTTGCTTTAACATTAATGTTTTTATGTTCACACCGTTTTCACGTGTGAATCTATTGGTTTTGTTTAGATTGAAAAATCAGTTTTTTGAATTTTATGAGGATATGGAGCAAGATAGCTTAAAATGTTCAGAGATAAAAAGTTTGTGCCTTAAATTTCACATCTTTTGCAAAAAACAGATTTCAAATTAATTGCGGCATTGCTGAGAAAATCGCAAAATACGCTTTCTGTAAGCAAGCAAACAAGCAAGCAAGTTAATCAGCAAGAAATCTCATTAACGAGACATCGTAGAGACTTCTAGTTTTTTACATTTGATCCGTGCTGCTCTATAGAAGAGCTGTATTGTTTTTAGGCAAGGTAGGAACAGCCGTTGCTTCAGAAAAAGCAAAAAACTTTCCTTTCTTACGAATTTTTTAAAACAAAAGTTGACTGTGATTTTTATAAAATTCAACTTTGGATGAAAATTTTTTTTAAAAAACTTTTAAAGAATATTTGGCATATTCGTCAAGCTTTATACCTTCAAACTTATGCTGAGCGTAGCTCAGCTGACACTCTAGCTTTATATCTTCAAACTTATGCTGAGCGTAGCTCAGCTTACGCGATAGCTTTATAACTTCAAACTTATGCTTAGCGAAGCTCAGCTGCCTCCATAGCTTCATATCTTCAAACTTATGCTGAGCGTAGCTCAGCTGACACTCTAGCTTTATATCTTCAAACTTATGCTGAGCGTAGCTCAGTTTACGCGATAGCTTTATAACTTCAAACTTATGCTGAGCGAAGCTCAGCTGCCTCTCTAGCTTCATATCTTCAAACTTATGCTGAGCGTAGCTCAGCTTACGCGATAGCTTTATAACTTCAAACTTATGCTGAGCGAAGCTTAGTTGACTTATCAAGCTTCATACCTTCATACTTATGATGGGCAAATCTTGGTCTATCCATAAGACTTATGATAGTACGGTGTGAATATAATCCGCATTGGGTTTCTACCCGATACACTAGTTTAATTTAAATTAAATTTTGGATGAAAAAAATTTTTTTGAGCAAAGAACCAATTAGGAAATACATTTTCAATTTTGGACTAGGGGTGACCCTAGTCAAAATCAATTTTGTCACTTTTTTCTTCGAGGGTTTATCCAAATGGATTGAAACTTTGCATAAATATTCTAATGCTAAAAACAAATACAAATAAAACATTCTAAAATTTTTTTGAGCAAAGAACCAAGGAGGAAATACATTTTCAATTTTGGACTAGGGGTGACCCTAGTCAAAATCAATTTTGTCACTTTTTTCTTCGAGGGTTTATTCAAATGGATTGAAACTTTGCATAAATATTTTAATGCTAAAAACAAATACAAATAAAACATTCTAAAATTTTTTTGAGAAAAGAACCAAGAAGAAAATACATTTTTAATTTTGGACTAGGGGCGACCCTAGTCAAAATCAATTTTGTCACTTTTTTTCTTCGAAGGTTTATCCAATTTCAGTGAAACTTTGAGTGAGTATACTAATATTTATACAAAACAGTTTTAAATATCTAAAGCAAGAAATGTATTCTATATGTCGTCAGACCCAAATTTTATAAATTTGGTTGTACATTCAAAAACAACGTGATTCAGAAATGTGTGACCTGAGGATTAGAATGCTTATACAAAGTTTTAATGTATTTGGATTTATCCTCGAAGAAAAAAAAAGTTAAAAACTAGATTTTGATGTCCCAAATTCATAATTAAAAATGTATTTCCTTCTTGGTTCTTTGCTCAAAATAATTTAGGATGTTTTATTTGAATTTGTTTTAAGTCCTAAAATATTTATACAAAGTTTCAATCCATTTGGATAAACCCTCGAAGAAAAAAAGTGACAAAATTGATTTTGACTAGGGTCGCCCCTAGTCCAAAATTGAAAATTGATTTTCTATGGTGTACTTTTGTCAAAAAATTTTTTGGATGTTTTATTTTAATTGACTTAATTCTGACATAAATCACAATATATCCGCATTGGGTTTCTACCCGATACACTAGTTTGTCAATCTTTTTGACTAGGTTAGTTATTGACAAGCTGGATTAGTTCAGGCATTCATTGAAGTATCGAGGATTGAATTTGTAAATAGTTTAATTTTATTTGACAGCATAAGTCCACTAATGGACATTCATGAATCTATGACTAATTTAATGAAAGAAAGTGACAAAATCAAGATTTTTTTTCGCAAACTGTTCATGACATTCAGAAGCGTAGCTGGAAATTTTTAAGTGAGCAGAACTGATCGATCAAGTTTTACTAATTTTTAATCAGTTCCGTAATCTTTGCTTAAACATAATTACCAAAACCCAACAGCTGCAAATCTGATGAGTTTTTCATAGCACTCCATATGTTAGTTGAGTTTGCTGACAAGTGACTTTATGTTCACAGTACCTTTTTGCACCAGAAGATTCAAGTTCCGTATCTAATTCTAGATTATCTCACATAGCATGGAAGCCTCAGAGAATGACTCTTACTTTGCATATAAAATCATTCCCGTCTCATCTTGATTCCATGCTGAAAATTTTCAATTAAAATGAAGAAAGCTAGCATTTCCAAAAAAAAAGCTTGTGATTACAAGAAAGAAAATCTGGTGTGTTTAGAACATCCCTTGTTATTTCCACATCCATATTATTTTATGGTTGAAAAATTGAAAGCTTTGCAGAATTAGAATTTATGCGGTCTAATTCACATTTTTATCGTTCCTTTTGTACTTTTAAAATTTATTTATGCAACATGATGATTGTAAAGTGATTATGTAGCTTCCTGAAATGAACTAGCATTCTCTTTTCATCTTTATTTAAGCTCTAGGGAAGGAAAATGTATATTAAGTGAAAATATGCAAATGTAAATGAACTTCAGAAAACGAAAATGATCATAATTTCTGTAAAAAGAGCACTTTACACATTTATGGACATGATAGTAATTTGTTAATCTCATCTCATTGTTCTTCTTATTTTGTGGGAAGCATTTTAACCTTAAATAGTTTAATGATGAGAAGTTTTATGCTTATCGCTACTCTAAAAGCTATTTAAAAATGAATTTAAGTGTCATCAAAAACTTTCGTCCATAACATTAAGTTGACTAGATTCTCGTTAATGTCAATAATCATCATATTATTGAATATTTGATCTGATATTCATTATTAATCTATATTTTATTCAAAACATTTTTTCTATCATTCATGTTTAGCAATGAAAAGAATCAACAAAATCAGCATCAGCTAATATTTGTATGACTTTTTATTTCAGTGCCTTTATTTACATGTCAAAAGATTTTCTCATTTATCCACTCGAGTTCTTCTAAAAATGAAAAAAGCTATTTTTCAGACATTAAACTTGACAAACAGTAAATAATCGAAATTTACAACCGTCCATCCGAGAAAATGTCCAAATAAAGTACTCAAATCTTATTGCCTATGCTGATGGATGGTGGTTTTCGGATAACATCAAATGACAATTGAAGCTTGTAAATTTTGAGTAAATATTTTGTGAGATTAAATGGAATTTTTTGTGGATTATCATGTGAATGTTTTATTATTTCATCTTCGGGGCATCATAAAATTTCATGTATGATTTGTTATCAATCATTATTTTAGAAAACACGAGCATTGCTTCTTAAATGTCGGACATCAATTTATCCTCCTGGCTTCATTTAGAATTTATGAAATTCGAATCAAATTGAAATTGTTTCAGTTTGCGCTGTAAACGACTCAACCAACTCTTTAGTTCTACTTACAATCATTCTTCATGCTGTAGAATTTTAATCTATGGAGGATCACTTTTTATGAACAGACCGCGGTATGTAGAAGAAGTTTTTATGATTTGAAATTTATTGCAAACAAAAGCTTTTTATATTTCCATCATAAAAGCTCAATTGGGCTTTTTTAACAAGCAATGAATTTTGTTTGATGTAGCAGTGCTCCTTAAATGTAATCTATTTATCAAGTATTTTGTGTATAGCAAACAGTTAATACTACGTGGTTATTATTCGACCATCATCATGTAAGTCTAAAGCATTATAATGCGATACTCTTGTCCTATCATACCCCAGAAGTATTATTTTCAAATTTGGTATTTCCATTCTTCATCTCCCATCAGAACCACTTTTCAACAATGAGCTATAACAAATTTAAATAAATCAGTAACTGATAACATGAAATAGCAATTTTCAGAATTATTTGATTTTAACCCAAAAGTGATATTTATTTAACAAAAGAGGATACATTTACTGAATCTATTACGATAAAACAAATAAATTGAAAATCATAGCTTTACTCCTCAATTTGTTCGTTGAAATCACAAGTTTCGAGTTTTAAA